GACCCCAACCAGGGAGTCGTGACACACCAACCGATGCTAATCTAGCACAAATATCCTTCATCCCACGACGCCACGTCATGGGCTGACCACCTCTCCGCCTTTTCCAACCCGTCCCAGGGCTAGCGAACAGAGACCTGTACGGAAGCCTCTGGGGTGACATTCGCAGCACATGTCCAAGCCACCGGAGCCGGTGTTTCCAGATGACGACATTCAGTGAATGGTGATCTCCACTGTGTTCAAACACACGCCGCCGAACCTCAGAATTACTCACGCGATGATGCCATCGAACGCAAGCAATCCTGCGGAGACAGCGGTGATCGAACACGCAGAGTCGCCTCACATCCTCAGCTCGGAGAGGCCAGGTTTCACAGGCGTAGAGCAGCGCAGCCCGCACCGAAGCATTGTATACCCGACCTTTGACAGCCAGGCTAACGTCGCGACTGCGCCAGAGGTGGCTCAAGTTGATGTATGCCACCCTAGCTTTCATTATACGGTTGGAAATCTCATCCGTCACCCCTCCGCCAGCACTCACACAACTACCTAGGTACACAAACGTATCGACAACTTCAAGCGGTTCACCCGCAAGAGTGAGTGCAGGTACAGGCTCCTGCCAATCTTGTAACAGTACTTTGCACTTAGACGGCGCAAAGCACATACCATACTTACAGACACTGATCGCCAACTGATTGAGTGCGATTTGGGCAGCCTGCATGCTATCGCACAGTAAGACGATATCGTCTGCATACTCGAGGTCGAAAAGTCTATCTCCAGGTAGCAGATCTACACCACCTTCACGCACATCCTTCAGAGCTGACTCCAGAATGTCATCGATGGCAAAGTTAAAGAGAAATGGTGAGATTGGGCAACCCTGTCTAACCCCACTGTTGGTTGGGAACAGTGGTGATAGTTGGTTGTATGCCCTCACTCTACCTGAGGTGTTTCTGTATAGGGCTTTCAAGATGTTAACAAATTTCTCAGGTACACCTCTCTCTAACAGACAGTTCCAGAGCACAGTTCTGTCCAACGAATCGAAGGCAGCCCTAATATCAAGAAACACAACGATCGTTGGCCTGCAATACGTGTGGCGGTGTTCCAACAACTGACGAAGGGTGAACACATGATCAATGCATCCACGACCTGAACGAAACCCAGCCTGCTCTTCGCGAATCAATCCTTCGCGTATTTTGCACAGTCTGCGAAGCATGACAGCAGCCAATATTTTAGACGCAACTGGTAACAGACTGATACCCCTATGGTTGTCACACGAATTACGTCGACCCTTTTTAAAGATGGGGACGATAATGGCTTCGTTCCACATTGATGGTACGCTCTCTGTCTCCCACACCCTCCTGAACAACCCAGTTAGAGCCATTATGAGAGTCTCGCCACCATCTTTAGAAAGAGCCGGGGGTAATTTGTCTGGGCCGGGCGCCTTATGGCGTTTCAGAACTTGGAGTTCCTTACGGACCTCCGCTTCGGTGGGTGGATCGGTACTAACCGACCAAGGAGCACTCGGGCTAATGATAGTAGACAATGAAGCTGGTGGCCAGCTGAACTGCTTCCCGAAGTGCTCTGCCCAGCGTTCCAGGCGTCTCTTCAGGCTGGTAATTGGAGTGCCATCTGCTTCACAGACCGTCTCGCTGACACATTGTTTCTTGCTGCCGGTGGCTCGTATGAGTTGGAACAGCTTCCGACTGTTGCCAGATGCAGCAGCTGACTCCATCTCATACGCACGTTCTGACCACCAGGCTTCGCGGTCCTTACGTAAACACTGTCTAATCTTGCGCGTGAGCGCCTTTCGCTGATTGTTGTATTCACTGCCAGCCGGAATGGACCGGCGTTCATCCATGAGTTGCAAGGAACTCGCAGAAACCCAGTGGTTGTTAGCGGAGCATTCTTTCAAGCCGCAAGCGGCTACACTCGCCTTTTGCATGGCACCTTGCACATGAAGCCAGTGTTCATCTATACTACTTGGGGGGTTGCTGGCAAGCATTGTTTTCAACTCGTTCTGATATTTCAAAGAAGTAGCAGGTGCTACTAGTTTGCTCACATCAACGCTTAGACGACGGTTTTTACGAACCCCACCAAATCGCAAGACGAACTTGGCACACACTAACGCATGATCGGAGTCCAGGCATGTGCTCCAGAAGGAGCGACAGTCTTGTATGCATCCTCGCCACCGGAAACTGACCGCAATATGATCAATCTGAGTCCAAGCTTGCTTCGCAGAGGGAGGACACCAGGTAGCGCTACGGCGATGGCTGTGCCGGAAGTTGGTGCTGGCTAGAAATAGGTTGTGATCCGCGCAAAGCTGCAGAAGACGGTCCCCATTATCTGACCTGCGACCATGTAGTCCCCACTGACCACCTAGACGACTCTCCTCTGAGCTTAGACGCCCGACCTGTGCATTCAAGTCCCCAGCTAGCACTACGATATCCCTCCGACCCGCCTGTTTCAACAGATCGCTCAGTTGGTAGTAAAACTCATCCTTCATTGCATCCGGGCTGCAATCCGTCGGTGCATAGGCAGAGACAACAAATAGACACCGCCTATCTGGCCTACTACTCCTTACTTTCGTATAACCTTCCAGCCTCACAGCACATAAACGACTGTTAATGGGAATCCAGTCGAGCAGTGCAGCTTCGGCTCTAGCGCTCAGTGCGACACCGACACCAGCTACGCCGGATGCTGATGCCACAGGGTCCCCGGATAAGCGCAGGTGGTACATACTACTAGAACTTCCAGATGGAGAGGACAGTCGAAGCACTTCACTGGGATCTTGAATGCGGGTCTCCGAAATGCAGCAGACATCGATAGCGAGGCTTTCCAAAGTTCTTGCCAACCCTGCCTGTTGTCCGATTTGCATCAGCGTCCGAACATTGTAGGTAGCCAGCTTGAACGCAGCACGCGGTTTCAGGATATCTGTGTTAGAAGTCACATTGGGGACAGCCATTTTGAGGACTACTCACTAACATCTCGAAACGACACAGATAGGCTAGGAATCCAAACAAAGGCGAAAGGCTGTCGAAGGTTAAGGAGTCAAGGTTAGGAAAGGTAAAATACAGGAAACTAAGTATAAAAATAAAAGTAAGGTTGGAAAGAGATATATCAGCTGGGACATCATTACTGCTTGAGAGCATTGTTAAGAGCGCGCGATGAGTTTCACTGATAGTTCGTTGCTTCATTTAATTAATTGTGTGAGGGCTGAGATACTGCCCGGGCGCCCAAACCGAAGCAGGTGGTTTTCTTAAGGGACCACCCCCCGAGCCTTTGACTTGGAGTCTAATCCGCAAGGCAGCGGAGCAGCGTCAGGTGCTGCGTTCCCATGGTTGCCGGTGACCCATATGGGTTCGTACGCCATTTGATCCTATTGGATTCTGGAGCCCATGTACCCCATGGTAACTGCTTTTAGTCTAACCGCTATCCAAACAACCTTCCTGGCATGGTAGGACCTGCAGGGACATGAGTCCCAGCCAGTTTAGCTTGTTGGGTCACTGCGGCATTCAAGCCCGACCACCACGGCAAGGTAGCAGTTATCGGCCGAGATACATTTCACAGGGGCGAATCGCATGCCAAACATACGAAGATTGCTGCTCAAGGTGTTCAGAAGACTCTGCATTTTGTCAGCGTCCTCCCCTAACAGGACTATGTCGTCTGCATATTCTAAGTCCATGAGACTATTCCCTGGTAACAAGTCGATTCCGAAGTCGTTACGTTCGGTTAAGGATACTTCCATTAGCATATATATGATGAAGTTAAACAGAAAAGGGGAAAGTGGACATCCCTGACGGACACCACTGGTTGTTATCAATTCAGATGACAATTCCCCATAAGCCCTTACACAGCTACGTTAGTTTTAGTAGAGTGCCTTGATTAGTGCAATGTACTTTCTTGGCACTCCCTTCATAGTCAAACATTGCCATAGAACCTCTCGATCCACGGAGTCGAAGGCCGCCTTCAAGTCAAGAAATATGGCAATTGTTGGACGCCTAAAAGTGTGCCTATGTTCTAGGATCTGTCGGAGAGTGAAGATATGATCTATGCACCCTCTACCTGGCCTAAAGCCCGCTTGATTTTCCCTCGTTTGTTCCTCCCGAGTTCGGCTTAGTCTGTTGATGATTACTGAGCCTAGGATTTTAGAAACTATGTTCGTTAGGCTGATTCCTCTATGATTATCACATGAGGACTTATCTCCCTTCTTGAATACTGGTATGATAAGTGACTTACCTAAAATGTAAGTACCATTGCATCCATGCTTTCAACCACAAAAAGAGATGTTTTTCTTGTGCACTAGTCAGTGTGTTAGCAACTAACTCAGGTACCATACAATACAGTTAATAAAACTTCTATTTGAGCAATCTATCTAATATTCCCAAGAAGGGCTAAATACTAGTCCACACTTACCGTACATATCCAACTAAAACGGTGGAATAAGTGTGAAGTGTGGCTCTTATCTCTGCAAAGTTCAACTATAAAACACTTCGTTTCACTGGTTGCCAAAAAGAGTTGTCCAATAACTCAGCCATTTAGCTGATGAGATGAACCACAAACGAGCAGAGCCGTTGTCCATTTAATAGGTCGTCTATATAGTTACACTGACAAGAGTAGGTTGTGTGAATAATTCAAAAGTACCTAATATCACCAAGCAGTATAGTTAGTCACCGGAAAATTATTGTACGGTAATTCAAATTTTAAACTAAAATTATACAGACAGTAGAAATGTCCTTTAATAACATAAAAATTCTAAAAGTGATACATAGAGCTGCAAAACAGTAAGTAATAATTGCAGATTTATTTAAGTTACACGGGGAATATGACGCTTAGTCTAGACAATAAAAGAACAAAAATTTACAACACCAATATTTGTGTAGATGAGGATGTCTTGGTGGGCAATATGAAAGGACACTGATTTCAAAAAAGTGTAGTAGATTAAATGCCATCAAAGTGATAAATCCACCTATCTAAGACAAATAGAATCAGAATGGATCTTGGAGACAGTGGTAAGTAACATGAACCATTTTCTGCTACAACTATGATTCTACTAACTATTTAGAAATGATATATGGAATTAAGCAACATAAATATTTCAAACCTTCATTATTAAATGCTGATTTGGCCAAAACACGATCAATATCTGTATAACGCAGATCTTCTCGTTTCTTTCCACCGACTAAATGTTCATAGGTACGCCGATTGATATAATTGCCACCAGCATTACTGATGTAGAGAAAGAAAGTTAAAATTACGGTTGTTCGGGAGCAAAGGAGATAAATATAAAAGTTATTTAAAATCTCACTCAAAGCAGAATGAATGTTAAAATGATATGAACACCAGTTGATTTCCACATTAGGGATGATATACCTCAGCATTCGACTTTTAGCTAGTTGGTCTCCCATTCAAATCGGATAATAAGTCATCAAACATTAAATATGGTTGATAGCCCAATAAATAAGCATATTTGTGCATTACATTATCGTCATGAGACAAAAAAAGACAACAAGCAGGCAAAACAACATGGGGTGTGAAGAGATAAATATTGAAACCATGGTTTAGGAACAAAGAATATTCATCTCCATAAATTATAACTGCAAGAGCAGAATTTAGTCACTGTAATAAAATATGACTCAATATTACGTAAGCTTACTTGGTAGAATACAGTGATACAGTACTAATAATCGGATGACATTCGGAGTACACTTTATTGCTTATAATTACATTAATGTATTCACATAACCTCTGAATATGTTATATATAGCTTTACTCCCTCTTATTTTTCGTTGCAATTTTTGATATATTCGAGATAGACTCAATTAAGAAAAGGAATATAATTTGAAAAATACTATGTAATGACTACTAGGTCAATAACATAGGTCAAACTAGTAGATCGGGGTCAGTTAGATTATCGAAACACGGAAACCTAGAATGACTGACACCTCTAGCTTAAATAACCTAGAAAAAAGCTTGGCCATTGCACTGCATTCACTTGCATGTAATCATATAACGATACGGTGGGACAGGGTGAAGGTATCAAAAAGTAATATAGTTAGGTGGAGAGAAAGGATAGTTACTGAATCTTTGTTTATCGGATCAACACCGAACATGTGCAATCGAAATGACACAACGGAGATACGTAGAATTGCAACAAAAAATGAGGGGGAGTGAGGAAAAATATCTAAAGCAAATTATGAAGCCGTGTGAATACATTTATATGATTATGAGCATAAAATTGTGCTCGAAATGTCGTTCAGTTGTTATGAATGTACCACTAAGTGTTAAGTCAAGTAAGGTTACCTAATACAAAGCTTCTTCAGATCCTATAGCTATATACCCATATTAGCTACAGGAGAAGTGTTATTAGCAACATAAATGCTTTTTATAATGCCTAGTCATTACGATAAAGAATCCAAGATGTTCATTAACAAATGTTTACTAGATTACACTTTAAAATATTTAAGCATGATAATAGGCATTAATATATATATATATATTCGTGCAACAGAATTGCTAAGAAGCTTTACTGGAGTTGAAGTTAATCCTGAGTGATGATTTAGAAGACTGAAATAACCCATCTATTGATATCTCGTCTTTCGTCATTTAAAAAGTAATACTGTCATCAGCATACACAGTGAAATTCAAAATAATAGGAGTAGAAAATATTTAAAATTTAATTTACAGCTTAACGAAAATAAAAGCCATGGGCCTCTTACTGCTTATAACAATAAATTCTGTTGACAAAAGAAACTTCAGTGTTCATTCTCTTAATAAAAATTAATTGATTAGATTCAAAAAAACTGTCAATAACCGTGGTACTCTGAAAAGATTAATTTTTAAGCAGTATGATATCTTCACCAACCGTCACTGTCACTGAGAAATAACACCAGTTTCTGTTTGGAATTCAGCATCACAATGGATCGAGGAAAATTACCAGTTGGACGAAATATGCAATACAAGAAAGTTACACATATTTGAATAAAACTCATGATGTAATTCACTGGTTTAAGGACTCCGTTTACAGACGATGAATCACGAGTTCGAGCGCCGCCACACCTACTTCAGTCTGGGCAATTGGGTATCACCAGCCCCTATATGGCAAAATTTGGCTTTAGGCCTATAACATGAAAAATCTGTTTCGGTTAATTTAGCTTAAACAAAACAATAAAACTCATGGGTCTTGAATCAGTTTTGCACAATAGAAACAGCAAGTGGTGCTGCATTTTTTAAAAATATGATTCGTAAAAATATGTCTTGGATACATTAAAACTGGAGAAATGTAGTATTCAGAGTACACAAGTGAGCGCATAGGCGAATTTAGAAAGTTGTGTGAGTATCTCGATATGATTATGAGCAATAAATTGTGCTCAAAACGTCAGATGTGAGACTTTATCAAAATAAATTTCATCCACAATAGAATTATACTCCACCAAAGTGAACAAGTTTTATTCTCATTCACAAGTTTTGATTGTGTCTGACCGGTAAACAATCTCAAAAAGAATTTCATTATCCTCAATATATACATAAATATACTGTCAAATACCTTAGGAATAGAAATATAGATCTTCTGAAATCAACGCCTTCAACTGATTCACGAATCTCTAATAAAGGTGCTAATACATCGAGTATCCCGTG